TTTTTTTTGTCAAAACTCAACAATCACTACCTCCATTTAACAAATCATCAATCCTCAACATCATCATACGAGGTTATCAAGGAAAAATATCAACAAAGCTCAAAAGGGGTGACTAGTGAGAATTATATACGGAGAAAAAGAAAATGGAATAAAATATAAGGAACGCCTCAATCATTTTCACGTTTCACAAACTCAGTCAATTCATTTCAAAGTAGAATCAAGGCAAATTCTAACTGAATAAATTTCAGACCAACATCTCACAATAAACTAGTATGGCTCAAGCCTCACAAGGTAGATAATGTCAATCAAAACAACCAAGCAATTGATCGAGATATGCCACCAATTCTCATCATCACAACTACTCAACTCAATCGACAGTCATTAACCAATATTGCCATACACCATAGTCCAAGCTCAAACAGTCAGAACAAAATCCTAAAACTAGACTGGTCCACCACATAAACATGCAAAATCTAAATAGATCCCCCCACACTTAGAATGAGGCAATGACCTCATTGCTTCAACATAAAACCGGAAGTCACATAATAGGACCTAGCATTTTCATATAATGAACTAAACTAGCAGCTATCACAAAACACAAACTCAAAAGAAAAGACAAGAGAAAGAAAACTCAAAAAGAGAAAAAAAAAAGGGTGTGCAAACCAAAATGCCTTGAGGAGACTAAGTATCCATATGCGAGCCACTCGCTCACGCTCAACGCAGAACCTCGATACTCCTCCTGCTCGAGCGCACAAATAGTACCTGTCGAGAAAAACCACAAAACTCCAAACTCCAATTATTAAAATATAAAACTAAAAGAGCAAAAAGAAAAATATCTAGAAAGCATCAAATTCCTTGGGTTGCCTCCCAAGAAGCACTTGTTTAACGTCATTAGCTTGACGAAACCTGAGGGGAACTCAATCGGGATCTAGGAAGAAGTGACGGTCGTGCTACGCCTTCGTATTTTTGAGAAGTGGTAGCCTGGGCAGTGTAGCCAGAAGGCGGGCATGGTGGGTCCGGGTGGCGATGTTCTCGATGAAATAGTTTCGGGCCTGAGCAATCCCCAATCCTATAAGTAGAGCTTTTCCCACCCAAGCTCTATCGTCAACCTCCGGAAGTATAAGCTCATCTGTGGAAAAAGTCGAACTGAATGCCCCCCACTCGGTGACACAGTGTGATGGATCTGAAGGTGAATGCTCCAGGTCAGTCGTGGGAGGATGGACTTGAGAACCAAACCCATGGAACTCCTCCTCTGAGATATCATCAATGTCTCATTGGAGCTCATCATTTTCTTCTTCGACCTCACACATTTGCTTCATTTGTCGGGCTTGAGTATCAAGCATCAAGTGGGGGTCGGTGACTTTTGCCTCGATTGAGTCGATATGTGCTGTAAGAATCTCCATTTGTGTGTTCAGTCGAGCACACCCGAGCTCAATCTCCACATCTCGAGTGGTATGGGCAGATATGCGACCAAGGATGAGGTCAAGCTTTTCATCGTATGTCAGAGCAACCTCCCGAGGTTCATTACTGTATGTAGGTTTGCCTTGATCGGTGATCTCGGGAGAGAAATTGGTAGCTCGATCCTCTAAAGCTTGCACGCGCTCCACAAGATTTTCGATTCTGGACTCCAGATTGCTCCTACGGGCTGCTTGGGATGCTAGAAGAGCAAGAGCCTGGTCGAGCTTTGCATTGTACTCTGAGGAGTCCTCGAAAGACTCATATGGCTGCTCAACAGGCCCAAAATCCTACTGCTGCTCGTAAGGATATGCCCATGTCTGGCCATAGTCCCAAGAATCGTAGAATGGAGGTGACTGATTCAGAAAGGCACACCGAGCTGTGGTTTCTTCTTCTTTAGGCAACGGTGATGATGCGAAAGCATAGATAAGGTCGAGCTTCTCGTTGAATTCGTGGGATTCATGATATTGCTCGACCGGGAAGGGGTCCCAGTACTGCTCGGAAGGGTATGAATATGGCTGGTAGTGATGCCCGGCGTGATAGCTCGGCTCGTGAACCCAAGGTTGGGTGTGCTGTAATGGATAATCACGGTTGTAGTTCATAATACCTGCACACCAAAATAGAACAACCACGCGTAGCCACGAAAAGGAAGAAAAGAAAAGGCAAAAAAAAAAAACAAAGAGAAAAACAAAGAACGCAAAAGAAAAAACACAAATATGAAAAACACAAAACAAAGAGAAACACGAAAAATAAAATCAATACCAAAACCAAATATCCTACTTGTCTTCCCTGACAATGGCGCCAAATTTGTTGTATACAAATTATTTATTTTTACCGAGTATTGAATCGAAAGATTCGTTCCCCGGGTCGATCTCACAAGGAAGGCGGTTGGGAATTTAGCTTTGATATTGATAACACATAAAAAGATAATAAAACCTAAACAATCTAATCACGATTGGAGATATAATAATTACCAGCTAAGAAATAATATAAAATTGATAATCTATCTAAAAATGCAAACGAAACAAGGATGAAGAAGCTAGGGAGTTGGGGATAATCAATTCAAATTTTATTCGCAAAATCGAGGTATTAATTGTTCGATTTAAGATTGACACTCTCGCTTAAACATTTAGCGGTTCACTCCCTATAACTTTTCGTAACAAAGGATTGAACATAGACGAGTAAGTTCGAGCATACGACCTAGAGATCTGATTCCAATAACTCACGTAACAAGGAATGGGACATAGTCAAGCATGTATTTCAATCCAAATCCATAGCCTATTCCGTTAGGAAATCATCTATCTTGTGCTAGCCAAAGACTACAATTTTTCCCCTTTCGGTTCCAAAGATTGCTCAATTAAATCATAGGGTGATTAACCGACTAATTCTTAAAATCAACAAAACCTTAACTCAACAAATCAATATCCAGTTATTTCTAATCACAAGATTGATGTATCACACTTCAATTATATCAATCAATCAAGCATGATTTCATCAATTCTTAATCAAATTAATCCACACAAGAATGAACAATTCAAGCCCGAGAGATACGAATTAAACAAGAACAATCATCTCCTATCCCTAGCAATTGGAATTAGCTATTCATAACAAATCGAACACAAACAAGCATTTTTCCCAAATCAACCATTTTTCATGAATTAAATATGAGAGAAATACTTACAATAAATCCCAATTCAAGTGTCGAATCTGAAGCACAAGCTTATTCCAATAAGTTGATGAAGAGAAAGAAAAGAAAAAAAAAATGAAAAGTAAAGAAGAAAATAAGAAGAAAAGATGAAGAAAAGAGAATGATAAAGAAGGAGATTTTTGTGCTTTCTACGGGATAGGGTTCATCTCCCATAAGGGGATAGAATAATCCCCCCATCGTCTAAGAAATCTGCTATTTTAAAAACTGTTTTTTCGCGTCCTCCGCGGCCGCGGAGATTCCCGCTGGCCGCGGTGAACAACAGCTCCGCGGCCGCAACTATTCCCGAGGTGGCGATATTTTTCCGCAGAAGGTTGGGCTCTGGCAATTTTTTGTTCGCCATGGCCGCGGTGAAGAAAGGGGTCGCGGCCGCGGCGAAGAAAACTGGGCTGCACTGCACGACTTTACGATTTTTGCTTGTTCGGGTTCGTTTGAACTCAGAATTGAGTTCCGTTCTTTTCTACGCGTCGCTAACGAACCCCTCTATCTACTATGCAAACCCATCAAATATTTTCTTGAAAACCTGTCCTCCCAAATCTTATGACATGCACACCGAAAATGTGATTTGCGCGACTTTGTTGTTTGAGCCTGTTCGGGCTCGTCCGAGCTCGAAATTGAGTTCTGCTTCTTCCTATATGTCGCAAACGAACCCATATTCACAACCATTATTGCTCGATCAATTTTCGGTCTAAATCCATTCCTCACGGGACTTCTAACCTGCACACCAAAAACAAAAGAAAACCGAAAAAACACATGAGAAACAAAAAAAATACCAAAATAGAGCAAACCACGAAATAAACTACAAAACGAACTAAAAAAACAACTAAAAGACATAATATGGGGGTAAAAGAAAGGCAAAATGACAAAAAAAAAATGCAACAAAAATAGGACAAACAGTGGTCTTTCAATGCCATCTACTGTGCGCAGCCCCGTGACAAAATTACGAAGCCATACTCCATGGTTAGACGCCCCATAACATGCTATAATTTCTGCAACCATGGTAGAAGAGTCTATAATAGACTGTTTAGCACTCTTCCAAGACACAGCTCCTCCGGCTAGCAGAAAAATATAGCCTGAAGTAGATTTCATAGTATCTTGGCATCCAGCAAAATCAGAGTCGGTATATCCTACGATCTCAAGCTGATCCGACTTCCGATATATGAGCATGTAATCCTTTGTTTTCTGTAAGTACCTCAAGACCCTTTTGGCTGCTTTCCAATGGTCTAATCCCGGCTTACTCAAATATCTGCCAAGCACACCCACAATGTACGCAATATCTGGATGAGTAAACACTTGGGCATACATTAGACTTCCTACTGCCGAAGCATAAGGAATTTTATGTATTTTCTTGACCTCAAAATCATTCTTAGGGCACTGTTTGAGACTAAATTTGTCTCCCTTAGCAACAGGGGTATCTCCTGGTTTGCAGTCTTGCATTCTATACCTTTTGAGAACCTTTTCGATATAGCCCTTTTGTGATAAGCCCAAAGTACCCCGAGAGAGATCTCGATGTATTTCTATCCCTAACACAAAAGAGGCGACACCAAGATCTTTCATCTGAAAATACTTAGCTAGAAATTTCTTGGTGTCGTGCAGTAAGCCTATATCGTTGCTGGCAAACAAGATTTCATCGACATACAAAACCAAAAATATATATTTGCTCCCATAGAACTTATGGTATATACAATCATCAACCAAATTCATCTCAAAACCAAACGAGATGATCACTTGCTAGATATCCTTTATTTTTTCTTAAAATTTCAAATCTTTAATTTTATGAATTGATTATTGAAAAGCTACTTTGGATTCTACTTGGAGCAAAATGTGACGCTTTTGTTTATGATTTATTGTCGGTCTTATTCTATTTCTTATTGTTTTGTGTTTTTAAGAGTTGCTTGATTGTTAACACCAATGCTAAATTTATATTCAGTATATGAAAAAAAAAATCCGAAAACAAAGTTAGTATATATATTATCTTTATTAGGAAATTAATCTAATATATATACATATATAGAGAGAGAAGGGATCATATGAGAATGGTAGATAGTGAAAGAATTGTGGATCATTGGATTCAACATATCAATGGTTAAGATGAAGTCAAATTTAATAATTAAGTCAAACTCGTGAAGGATTAAAGGTAATTTAGTCTTTACAAATGTTACTTATTATGGTGTGGACCGCAACCCATCACACCTCATCCTTCTCACACACCATATTAAACACGTTCACACACCCATCCTCTCTCTCACACATATACACACACCCACACTCTCTCTCTCTCTCTCTCACACACACCCACCTTCTCTTTCTCACACATATACACACATCTTCCCTCACAGTCGCACACACGTACACAGTACATCTATCCGGCCAAATCAACTGCAATCGGCCCGTCGCCCCGCCGTCTGTCACACAGATGGGCCACCACAGAACACCGCTGCTGCCGTCCTGCGTGGCCACCGGAGACGTCTGCCGTCCGCAATCGCCCAAGCTTCACGCTGGCATCCACTCGCTATTCCGGCCAAAACTCCTACCACCAGCCCGCCGCGCCGTCCGCCACATAGAAGGCCGCACACAACAACACCGAAGATGCCGTCCGCCATGGCCACCGGAGACGTCCGTCGTTAACCACCACCCCAAGATTCACGCCGGCCTCTGCTCGGAACCACCAAATCACTGCCGGAAAATCCAGACGGTTCCATCGCCTCCGACACCCGCATAGCTTCTGCCTTATCCAGCCGCCGCCCCCAGTCACAAAATGTTCCGCCGAGATGTTGAGTTATTGCCATGTCCGGCGAGAGATTGGTCTCCGGCGGCTGTTCTCCGGCGAAGTTTAACCGGTCGGCCGGGGAGGGGCTGAATGGGATGGTTGTTATTGGAAGAAAGTGGAATGAAGATTGATTTTAAGTGGAATGAAGAAAAAAATGGTTTTTAAGTTGGGCATCATTTTGAGAATTTGATAGGTTCAAGGGACTAAATTGCAATTTTTGAAATTTTATTAAACCTCAATTTAACCCATAGGTCAAATCTATAATTAATAAAAAATACACTAAATGTACAATAAAACTGATAATAAAAAAAATGCGTAATAGATGCACAATACATTTGAGATGTTAAAAGTAAAAAACATATAATCGAGCCTAAATATAAAATTTCGAACCAATTTTTTTAGTTTGGTTGGTTCGATTATTTAAAAAGTAAAGTTGACTTCAAACCGAAAACATAAAATTTAAATAAAAATATATAGTTTTGGTGGGAGTTACGGTCGTTAATTGTGGAGTTAATCATGGAGTGTCGTGATATAGAGCAACACTCTGGTTTATGACATGCAACGCATTGATATGTAAAGTGCAATGTGTTAATATATAAAATGCAGTATTCTAATTTTGTTATGTTAGCATGCTTGTGTGTGTATGTGTATTTTTTTTTTCTTGGGACAAATTATGTGATTGATGTTTTAATATTATGTAGTCTCATTTTTTAGATGTATGATGTGTGGTATTTCGGCGTGATCTATTGACTTTAATTGTGAAATGTGGTGATAAAGTGCAAATCGTTGTTTTATAAAGTGCAACCTCTTGCTTTATAGGCGGCGTGTTGATATATAAAGTGCAACACTTTATATTATCACAAATAAATCATGTGTTTTTGTAAACTAGATTTAGTAGATTTAATTGTACATAAAATTAACTTAAAGAGTTGAAATAATTTGTTACTTATTATTATAAGAGTATATTAATTGTTTTATAATTTTTTTATATTATTTTTTGGTTAAAAAATAAAAGATACACATTTTTAACGATTTAATCCGACAAAAATAAAAACTAAAACTTGTTAAGTTAACCGGTTTATACCGATTAATCGATTTATCCTAAATACTTGAAATTGTTTAATATTCATTATGAAAATATATCCGCATGTTAATATTTTTTTTATCATTGTATTTGACTGAATATAACAATATATTTAAACATAAATATATAAAAATAATATTTTTTTTATTTAATTCGACTGTTTTGTTATTTTGTTTTTTTTTTTTATATTGTAAAGTCGAAACCAAAACATTAATTTTGTGGGGTATGTTGATAAAGTGCAATGGTCCGTTTTGAAAGGTGCAACATTCCGTCTTATAAAGTGCACTAATTTTAGAAAAATAATGTATATTCACAAAAAACAAAAGATATAATTGTAAATCGAATTAACCTAAATAAATAAAATATATTTTGATTTACTATTTTTATTGTATAACTTATTTTTATATTAACTAAATATTTTATATTATTTTTATTTACTATTTTATGATTTATTATATATGCAGAAAAAAATTTTAAAAATAATTTATTTATCTTTCAATAATTACATATTTGACCCATGGATCAAATTGAAAAATAATTAAATTACTAAAATTGCAAGTAAGCCACTAGACATAATCAAATTCTCAAACATAAAACCCCCAATTCTACAATCCCCAAAACCACATCTCCAGCCCCTCAATAACATTCATGAAATCACATCTTCAGCCTCCTCTTGTAGCACCACCATCACTCCCGTCGGCGAAGACGCGAGCTTCTGGCGGAGGTGGACAATCCGACGTGGTACAACCGCCATGTCTTCTCCAAACGAACGGCGGAGGTCGCAGGCGATGAGTACGGATCGGTGACAGAGGGCTGTCTGCTGAGTCGAAGAGAATGTTGGCCGCCAATCGAAGGTCGCTGGAGACTGTTGTGATGAGGCGCGGCGACGGTGAAGGAATCAGATGATGTTTTCAAGTGATGTATGACGGCGGTAAGGCGCGGCGGAGGCGTGATGACGGCGGCTGTGACGACGGTCGTTCTGCGTGCGTGTGGCCGCCGGCGGTGGTGCCGAATGTGTGTGTGTGTGTGTTTTTGTATGTGTTGTGTGTGTTTTTGTGTGCGTTGACTAATAATATATATTTTGAATTTTTTAATGGGTGTTACTATTTACCACATGTTTTTTACTAAATACCACCCCTAGAAATTACGATTTTGCCCTTTCAATAAATAAAAATAAAAAATTAATTTTTTTTTAACTAATAAAATGAAAAAATAACATTAAAACCAAAAAACCTATACATATACATAACTTATCAAAAAATTTCAGAAAACTATACATCTCAGTGGAAAAAAAAATTCAAAAAAACTGAAAAAAAACCTAATATTCCGAAAAAAATTAAAATAAATCTGAAAAAATTCGAAAAAAAAAACTGAAAATATCAAGAAAAAATAACTGGACAATCCTCAAGCACCAGGAAAGGGCTCTCCAAATCACAAGTATTTTTTTTTATTTTACAATTTTAACGAATTAAAAAAAAATCTAACCGCCGGCCGACAGGTGAATGCAGCCGCAGTCGAATCTGCCGACCGTTGCGGCCCGATACTGTTGGGACAGTTGTTAATTGCGGCCTACTCCCTTTCGGTCGCATTCTAAGGGTGCGGCCTATCCCCATACGGCCGCTATTAGCGGCCGTTTTTTTTTCTTTGAGCCGCGCGCGGCGGCCTGCGGCCGGCCTGTCTGCTCTGGGCCGTGCGCGGCACAGAATAATTTCTTTTTTTTTTTCGTTTTTTTAATTAAAAATGTTTTTAAAAGTAATTAATAAAGTTAATAATAAGTTTATTTTAATATATGGTAATAGTACTAAATATGAATATTCAATAATAAAATTTAATAAAGAAATTAAATATTAATATTTCTAATAACATTAAATATTAAATATTTTGTAATAGTACTTAAATATGAATATTAAATATTAATATTTATAACTAATATATATTAAAAAATATATTGGTAATTAGTATAATTATGATACTAAGTACTATATTAGTATAAATTAATTAGTATTTAGGATAATTAAATATTCTATTTATACTAATATATTAGTATATATTAGTATTTAGGATAATTATTAGCACAATTATACTTATAATTATACTAACTATTATATCAGTATAATATTAGTATTTCGGATTTATATTATTATAAGATAATAGTATAAAATTAAATTAATTATAATATAAAAATTTTCATTAGTATAAAATATTAAGTTATAGATTAGAATGAATTATCTTATAAAACTTAATTTATATTATTATCAATTATTTTATTAACTTATTAACATATATGGTAATATATTGCAGGGGTCACTCGAAGATTTTGGAGGAGACAATGTTGATTACGAATGTTGTTTCGCTACAGGTGACCTATTTGATAATTGTGATGAAGCTGTTAAATGGACAAAAGACATTGCAATAATATGGGGTTTCCAGTTGGTCATCTCGAGAAAATTAGATAACAGAGGAAAAGAGTTGAGGTGTCATCGAGGGGAACGTTATAGAGGTACTGCAGGAAAAGTAGGAAATTTCGTTAAGGCTGTTATGAGAAAATCGAAAACAAAAGTGACCGGCTGCCCTTTTATGATAAACGTCAAACTTGATGCAACATCCAAAAAATTTTGTATCTCGGTTCCTTTATATGACGAGAAGGGGACGCATAATCATGCATTTTATGTGAATCCCGAGGGTCAGCGACAGATGAGCGGACTCAGCGATCCATCCAGAGAGATTGTCCGTGTTATGAGTTCTGCTCAGGCAACACCGGCAGCAATTCTGGCTGCAATTCAGGAGAAACACCTTGTGGACAACGTGACTATCCGACAAGTGTATAATCATAAAGCTAAATTTCGGAAAGAAAGTTTGGAGGGTAGAGATGTGGCTGGGCAGCTTCTGCATTTGGCTACGGTCAGCAACTACATAGTTTACACTGACGTTGATTCGAACACACAGGCGTTGACACATGTGTTTATGTCGCATCCACAAACAACCAGTCTATTCTGGACATATTACTGGTATGTCGGTATAGATTCCACGTACAAAACCAACAAGTATTTTATGTTACTTTATAAATATACAGTTGATTGTGAATCTTAATTTAATTATTATGTTTGATTGAGCAAGTTTTTTTATTGTATGTTTTATCTTCTTGTTACATGTATCATATGCCGTTGGTGGAGATGGTTGGGATGACACCGTGCAACAGGAACTTCTTAATTGCAGATGCAATTATGAATGACGAGAGAGCGTACAGCTATGACTGGGTCCTACAGCGGTTGAGACTTCTTCTAGAGCCAACTAAAATTCCTCCAGTCATTGTCACTAACAGGGAGTTGGGGTTGATTATTACTATCCACACGAATTTCCTACAGTCTGCCCACTTACTGTGCACGTGGCACATCAACAAAGATGTGGAAGACAAGGTGTATAGACTAACATAAAAAAATAAGGTCTTCGCAGAGAAGTTCACGCACGACAAGTGGAAGAAGGTTGTCGAGGCGAGCATGTTGGATGCATACGAAGCTGCCTTAGCTGATATGAATGCTACATACTCGGCATTTTCTCGTGTGCTAGAATATGTGAAGAAGACATGGTTAGTCCATAAGAAGAAATTTGTCAGGGCGTGGACGAACTCTTTGTTACATTTGGGTAACACGACTACGTGTAGGGTGGAGAGTGCCCATGCTACGTTGAAGAGGTGGTTGCACACGTCGACCGATTCGCTCGACACGGTGTGTGAGAAGATTGACAAGGAGATTGAGTCTCAAATGACTCAAGTCAGGTTTATTCCTCAATTTATACATATTTACTGTGTTATTACTGCATTCATTATATAATATGTTTGATTTGGGTCTAATTTTATGTAATGTATTACCAGGGAAACGTTGGAGTCTTCGAGACATAGGATGAATACGGGTTACCGTGGATTCCCCTTCGTGCAGTTGAGATTGCGGTTCTCGCATTATTGTTTGGATCTATTGAATGATAAGTTTTCAGAGGATGCGAGACTTGAGTGAAGATGTTTTCGATAGCTGCGGATGTGTACTGAGTTACACTCATGGGCTTCTTTGTGCCTGTCAGCTAAATGGGGCATACACTATGGGTATGGAAATTACACCCGACATGATCCACGAGTTCTGGAGCACACTAGTGGTGAAGGAACCATGTATAATTGCGATGTTGAGTGTGTTGTTTAATTTTTTCACGTATTCTTTTATTTATATAATTTATTATATAGTGTGTTGTTTAATTTTTTTAACTTTTTTTAACAGACAGGTCACCAGAGTGCATCGGGAAATGGATGGACAGATCGTGATAATTTTCGGAGGCTTGCATTAGAGGTTGAAGAGCCCGATCCTACAACATTGAGGTACGTTACTCAGTTCATGGACTCTACTTTACCCCGACCAACAAGGTTACACAGAACCTTCAGTGACGAAAAATCCGAGAAGTCGGCCCAAGAAGCCCAATTCAACAAAGCGCGATCCATCCAAATGGGAGTACAGTCAAAGAGGCTGCCGTAAAAGCACTTCTTCCTATGCTCCATCGCAGTCGGAGTACATGGATATAGATTGCTGGGTTAGGCGTAAGACAACTTCTTCGTGTGCTCCATCGATCTGAAAGTACAGGGAAAGAGGTCGTCTAGTGGGGCGTAAGAGCACGTCTTCGTGTGCACCGACAAGCTCGCCTTCTCAACCTTCTGATGATCCGACATGTGATTTTTATTTTTTTGTTTATCTGAACGATAACTAATAATGTTTGTAAATTCGATTATTTAAATTCTGACGTGAAATTATTCTGATATTACAGAGACTTTCTCGACGCCCTTCTTTGAATATCGACATTTTGACAAAATTCCCTACTTAGTTCATCCCTACGTACAGAGCTATCTGGATGTGACGCTGGATGGGAACTACGGATTTTGGGTGGTGGCGACTGGCGAGTTACGTGTATAGGGATTAGAATATATGGTGTTACGTTAGAAACAACATGGTAAATGAGATTTTAGGAAAAAGACAACGATACGATCCTGTGTATTACTATGCCATCAACGCCGCAGTCAATCGGATAAGATGGGAAGGGGGTGGTTGTGGCCAGGAGCATTGGATGGAAGGTCTAGGCGATTTCTATGTAATTGCTACATTGTTTAATGCAGTTGTCGTGTTGTTAGGCAAGGGTGAGACAAATGACAATATCGACTGGAATAGTTTGACATTCTTGCCGCTGCACGCACCATCCACCGCTACGGGACCTGAACGCGAGATCGTGATAGGTCATCTTGGTTCTTACAAACACTACATTCGTCTGAATTTGTCATCTGATTCTACATTACCCCTATATGTTCATTCTGGGATAGATACCGAGATTGGACGGTTGCATAATATGCTAATTTGTACCAGAGGAGGATCAAGTTGTGGCGTCTAATTCGTAGTACAACTAGATCGTGACATATTATGATATCCGACTTATGTGGGATTGTGCACCATTTTCTTTTATTTATTAATCTATGATATTAGAGGTACATTTGTCGTTGATTTTGCAAGAAATATGCCCGGAAAAGCGTTAAAGACATAATCAGAATGAAAAACGAGGTGCAGATGGGTCACACGACTCGTGTGAGTAGGTGACACGAGTCGTGTGACACCACACGACTCGTGTTACCCGTTGACACGAGTCGTGTGGGGAGAAAAAATAAAGAATTTAAGAACTTTTGTCACGGCTTTTTCACACGACTCGTGTGACCTGTTTAGTATAGAATTTGATGGGCAAGGGATAACCGAGCTACCCGACTCGGGTCGATCTCGAAGGAAGGCTATTCGGAACATTATCTACTAAATGATCGTCCAAATCACAAAAAGATAAAATAAAATCCTAAACATTCTAAGCAATTGATTGGATGGTTGATTAACACTAAACGAGCATTTAAAAACGAGCAATTAATTAAAAGCAAGATCAAATGACGAGCAATTAGCAAACTAGATCACCGGAGTCTCATGCCATAACCATAACGGGATGATAATCAATCGACATACGGAATAAACGAGCTACGAGCATTAGATTGCTAACCCTAGTCAAACCGAGATCAACGAGCAATTAACGACTCTATCTACTCAAGCAAGCAATCAAATTCAAGCATTTCCTCCATCATCAATCAAATCCAAATTTACCCTAATGAACATTATAAGTAAAAGCGGAGCAAAAACCGAAGGAAAGAGCTTTAAAACTAAATACTCATTCTTCCATTGCGTAGACAATGAAAAACGGAGTCAAAAGCTCGAAACTTGAAAGAAACCGAAGTCGCCGAAAAACCTCCCGAAAAATAGCATAAGCTCCTAATCTAGAGAGCAAAATAGAACATAAGCTAAGTTCCCAAAAGGGAAAAATGAAATAATGAAAGTTGGATCCCCATAATACAAAGGAAAAAACATATTTATAGTCTTCTACAAAAACACACACTAGGTGCACACACATTTAAAAATTCAACACTCTCTAGGTAGCGAACTGGTCTTGTAGTTGTGCACACTCGCTAGGCGGCGAACTCATTCGCTATGCGGACTGGCCCTATGAGTCTTGTGAACACTCGCTATGCGGCGAATACGTTCGCTAGGCGAACTAGACTTTCGGCACGGTAATGACTCGATAACGGCTCGGGCGACTCGGGCGACTCGGGCGACTCGATCGGCTTGAACGACATATCACAAAATTACTATTTCTTCCTTCTGGGCCTACAAAACACCAAAACGCACAAGGAAGATAGAAAAATATACAAAAACAACTCAAAAACAGAAAGCTACTAAAACGAACACAAAATGGACCGGAACGCACAAACCGAACCTAAAAATACTCGTCTCAAGCAAATAAAAACACAAGAAAAACACACAAAAACATAACAAACAACTCCCCCACACTTAGTTCTTTGCTTGTCCTCAAGCAAACAATATCATTAACTTTTGAAAAGATAAATTTATTTAATTGTTCATCACTCATCAAGCCATACCTAGCTCATCTTACCCGCAATACTTAGTAACATCAAATTAGATCATGCGTTCCCCAACAAATTAGAATCATACAAAACAAAACCGTCCAATGCTCCACCACACATAGTCGACTCATCACAAGCATACTTTTACAAATCTACTCGAGAACACACACACATCGATGTCCCAACAAAGAATGAATCATAAACTCATGGGACCAAAAGATCCTAATCACATATCAAGAATATCCAAGGCACAAATGAATGTTTCCCTCTCTTATTCATCTTTTTTTTAAGAGCCGATTTTTCCAAATGAGAGTTATCCGAACGATTATTAGTTAGGTATAATCTCGAGGGTTTTCCTCGAGCCTCCTAAGCCGGTTTCCCGTACTCGTTGTTCTGGTCTATCTATAATAGACGAACCGGTTCAAGTAGAGTTTAATCCTTCAAACTCCCACGAACTCAAACATATATGTATTTTTTTTGTGAGTCACTTTTTCCAAACGAGGATTTCCGGACAATATTATCTAGGTTTGACCTCGAGGGTTTACCTCGAGTTCCCTAGACCGGTTTCCCACACTCATTATTATAATTCACCGGGATGAATCAAAACAAGAGGAGTGTAATCCGTACGACCCCGCGATACTCACTTTTGATTTTTTTTTTTTTTTTTTTGATGATAGGGCAACAATTCCATACAACAACGTGAACTTCATCCAACATATGATCAAAACAAAATGTCACGGAGTGTACAAAATGAGAATACATGTATGCTGAAAACAAGAGACCTCAAAGCACGTAAGTTCAAAGTATGGACCAATCGGGCATTGCAAAGGACAAACCAAGACGTAATTCTAAATCATGTGTTCCACATTCACGAATCTTCAATTACTTAGAATTGCCGGAATTGGAATCATTACAAGGCGTTAAACAAGATAGTTCAAAACGACATAAACAATTTATCCAATAAAAGTTAACAAATAGACCAAGCATCGAACTTCACGAGGGGGAATCGACAAAAACACACAAGACTAACACTTAACCCGGTCCAAGACACTAAAAACAAAAAGATAAACACCTAAGACAAAGCAATCACCACCTA